CCGGCCACTATGCAGTGGCAGAGATGCAAACTCAGTGTTCCTGCCTGGAAAATGGACGTGCTGATCCTAAAGTGTAAGACTTTGACGAGACCAGAGAGATGTGCCTCCTACCTCAGCTGTCACGGAGGGGTCTGCATGATAAAGGGGTCTTTGTTATGTAACTAAATCTGTACTACTCACATTTTCTCATTAGATAACTAGTTTTCTAGCCTAGATACCCCATCCCCCCAAAGTCTGGGGAAGTAAGAAAGATGCAAATCTATGTCTTAAAGAAAATTATGAACAACAACAACAAAAAACTCTCACTGATCTGGCTATTTAAGTCAAAATGTGGTAGCGGTTGTCCAAGATGATCAGTATTAAGCTTTAACATGTAAATTTGATAATAGAAACCTTTTTTGGGTTTTGTTGGGAGCTGAAATTGATAATACGTAGTTCCTGTTTCCTAAAGAAAAAAACTAACAACCTGAAATCCAATAAGCATTCTACACTAGCAAAACAACACGTTAATCCTATCCAAAGTGTTATTTCCACAACAATAACTTGGTCTCTTTTTGAACAGAGGTGGTTTGTGTTTAGGAAATTACTGGGAACTCTGCGTGGCAGGACTTTATGAGGCTGAAGCTTGCAGTGCATCGTGATACCCTCAGATTTAAAATACTGGCCAATCTCTTCTCTCAGAAACTTCATATTTTAAAAAGATAAACACTTGCAAAAATCTTTTGCTTAATATCCAGCTCGTCTGCCCTAATAAAACCTTTCCTTTGTTCAGTTAAAAACAGCAAGCATAGGGATGAACCAACAGAGAGGGTGACAGCCCTGCAAGGCCCTACTGCTTCTACTTTTCAGGCATGGAAAGCATATATAAGCAAAGAAACAAAAATAGCAAGTATTTATGCCCACGTGCCTGGAGCTGACTGGAAGGCATGTAGGTAAACAGACTTGATATTTAGTTCAGAATTGTTTCATGTGTTATGGGATATATGTATCCTAATGGATTTCATATTTTTTAAAGCCTGATGTAAGTTCTCCAGGAGAGATTTCTGAGAAGACTGACTTATTTGGTTAAGAAACACTTTCCTTGAACGTATTCAAAAAAATGATAACACTCAGTATAACCACAACGTGTATGTTGAAATGTGAGACCTTTTAACCCATGAAAATATGACAGGTGCAATTAGTAAGATACAAAGCGGCAGAAACTGAATGAAAGCTGTCGATGAAGCATCTTGCATGTAAGACTTCTTATTTCCTTGACTTGCTAGAAAGGTTGGCAACAACATGAAAGCCATTTATATGTTAGCAATGAGAGGAGGGTTATCACCACTTAATGTTATTTCGGGGACAAACTGCTTACTATCAAATGCAGCCCATAGGACGTGAACATGATCTAGGCCACACCTTGGCATTACTGGTTTGCAGAATTATTTCCCTATCCTTTTCCGAAACCTATTCAACACAGAATCGAACAATAGCAACTCTGGGAAGAATCCTCCTAAATACACAATGAAAAAATACTTCTGAGCTCTGAAAGGGATGACACAAGTGTCACACTTCTTTTCGCAGCCACCGAAAGGCAGGGATTAGTCTGACTAAGGTTGCAGGACTTTATAATGGTTTTAGTATTTAGAGCAGTGGCACAGTTAGCTGGAATTGCATTA